TCTCTCTCATCACTGATGTTTCTATCTCTCCCTCTCCCTTCCTCTCTGAAATCAGTAAAAATAAATTTTAAAAAAGAAAAGCTTCCCTGAGGAAGTGGCATTTAAGCTAAAATTTGGAGGGGAGGGGATGAAGAAAATGAAGGTGTGGTGAGGGGAGTGCCCAGAAGAGAGAGGGAGAAAGAGTATAACTGGAAAGTATACTGCATACAGAAAGAAAAACATAAACAAAAACCCTGTGGCAGAGAAGTATAAACGGCCCTGAGTAAAGAGAGCAAGCCAGTGGAACTGGAGTGAGTGGATGAGTAGCGGAGAGTTGTGGGGTAAGTGAAGGCAGGAAAAGTAGGCCTGTTAGGTGAGAAGAAGGATCTAGATGTTATCCTATGATCAATGGGAACCCACAGAAGGGGAACAATAGGATCAGCTTTGCCTTTTTTTTTTAAACATATATCAAGATACATTTGTAAATACAAGCAGCAGAAGCTCATAAATGTCACACACATATTTTTTTTAAAGCACAGTGTGTAATCACTACATAACAGTGCAAATATAAACACGAGTGTTGATGGGGTGGGAGCAGCGGGGTGGTGGGCCGAGCTGGAGTCTGGGAAGGCATGCGTAAGTTGCCTTTCTGTTTGTTTCTGAGGACTAATGTTCATCTGATTTGACGCCAAGGTAGCATTTGGATAAGCCAGGATAAAATCCCCATTTAAAACACGCCCCCTTCTTCAGAAGCTTCAAAAGAAAATTTCTCAAATTTCCACCAAGACGAACCTCACATGTGGGTGGTGTTGGGGACCACCCACAAGGCGTGATCTGCGAAGTGCTGGAAGACTACTCGTGTTCGGTGTAAACTCTCTCCTCCAGTGGTGCCTAAGATGCTACCATCACGATTCTGTTCTGCCGAATCTTCCTTCAGTTACCAAGTATGCTAGCACAGAGCAGCCCCCTGGGTCCATTCTGCCTTCCTGGGACAGAATGCATTGTTTCTGTTTCCTCAGGGATGGGAGGGTTTGAAGCTTTTTCAGACCACTAACCACAGAGAGCATGGAGGGGCCAGGAGACTGGGCAGGGTCCAGAGAGTGACCGTCAAAGGAGCCCAAGTTCCTTTGACGTCATCCCTTCGTTTGGGGCTGGCCCTGTGATCAGCTGGTGTGTACGCTATGGACATAGGTATAAATGTGTGTGCATTTATACAGCACAGGTATATGGATATACTTAGGGCATGTTCATGACTTTATAACATGGGAAGCAATCATGGGAAGCAATACAGGTCCTGAGATTGGACCCACCTGGGTTCAGATCACAAGCTCTATAACCCTAGGAAAGTCACGGAACCTATCTTATGGGGCGGTTGGGAGGATGTAGAGATAATCTGTTTGAAGTCTTGGCACTGGTCCATGGCATACAGCAAGTGCCACACAAAAGTTACTGTTAGGGCTATGCGTGTGCTTGTCCCTGTGCAAGCATACGTGTGCATGTGCATGTAGGTGCAGATTTGGGCGTCTAAGGGAGTGTGTTTAAGAACAAGAGAGGAAAGGAGGGAGAATGTTGCCCGCCTGCGCCCGCAGCAGTTCAGACACCAGAGCAGACCCGGGGGGGGGGGGATATACTATTGCCCATGTTTTCTTCTGTGATTATTATGATTTCATGCCTTACATTTGAATTTTTTTTATCTATTTTTGATTTTTTTCTTGTGTATGGTGTAAGTTGGTAGTCTAGTTTTATTTTTTTTTTGCATGTACCCATCTAATTTTCTTTCGTTGTAGTGTTTTTGTAAGGTTTTGGAATTAGTTAATGCTGACTTCTTAAAAGGGGTGGCAAGTATTCTTCCCTCTTGAATTTTTTGAAATAGCTTGCGGAGGATAGGTGTTAATTCATCTTTTAATGTTTGATAAAACTCCCATGTGAAGCCATTTGATCCAGGACTTTTGATTGCTGGGAATTTCCTTTTTCTTTTTCCTTTCCAATTTGGATACCTTTTCTCTTTTTCTTTTTTTTGTAAATAATTCTTTATTATTGAAAGTACTAGAGGCCCGGTGCACAAAATTCATGCACGGGGGGGGGGGGGGGGGGGGCGGGCAGCTCCCAGAGAAAAGAGCTCAGCTTTGCCCAGTGGGAATGAGGAGGGATAGCAAAGGGCCTCAGCCTGCCAGAGGCTTCCTGATGCGCACAGGATCTATAAAAGTGGAGGGATGAGAGAATGTTGAAGCTCAAAAAAACCCTCTATAAAAGGAGATTTTTTTTAAAGGAGTTAAAAATGGTCTCTAAAATTGACACGTATCCAAATTAGGCCTCTAATTTGCGCCAACCTGAAGCTCTCCCCTAGCTTGAGCTTCATTTATGTTTCCTTTTTCAAAACTGATTTGGAAGAACTTTGGAAAATGTGAACCACTACAATCTGTTCTCAGGCCTCTTGTTCCCCTCTTAAGATCTGCCCAAGGAGCTGTATCTAAGTGCTTTCTGCATCATAAAGATAGGCCATCCTATGTTGAGAGAGAAGACCCAGGAAAAAGCAACACCCAGTTTTTAGTCCAGGTTCTGCCCTTAACTCATTGGGCAACTTCAAGGAATCTCTTGATCTCTCTGAGCGTGGCTGCTTCATCTGCAAAAGGCGTTGATTGGTCCATTTGGGTGATTATCTTTTGACTTCCTGACATAGCAGAGGAGGGTTAGCTCCCTTCAAATATCTCTCCTCCCCTTAAAGCTGTATCACCATATGACATCGTAGTTAAGAGTGCAGACCACCTGCCTCCTGCTAGCTGTGACTCCTGGGATGAGCTATTTAATCTCTCTGTGTCTTAGTTTTGTCCTTTGTAAAGGAGGGTAAAGAAGAGAGTAGTGTATCATCGAGTTGTTAAAAGGATGAAATGAGTTGATAGAAGTGAAATATTTAGAACAGTGCTCGGCACAGGTAAGGACTACTCTAGTTTTGAGTAATATTATTATTATTTACTTTATGAAATAACTTTAACTTTACATGAAACAATGTCATTGATAAATCAAAAAATAAAGGTATAAGCATTATTTGGGGCTATGAAAAGTCTCTAGGGGGTCAGGGGAGAGCTGGGACCATTGCTTTTTCTTTTTTAAAACCCTATTGTGCTTTGATTTTTGAAGGATGTGTATGTACTACCACGACACTTTTTTTTTTAAATTTAAAGAGACTGAACAAAAAGATCACGGAAGTCCCTCTCAAATCTCTAAATTCAAGAACTGGCTACAATTATTAAGAAGCAGTACTTTTTGGGTGGCCGGCTTATCTCTGTTATGAAAGCTACCGTCCATATGTTTGGCCTTTTCAAGAACTTCTTATAAAGGTTTTAAATAAGCACAATCACCTTCTGGTGTTTATAACTGAACGTGTTTCCACTTCTTGGATAGGAGAGAAACTGAGAAAGGTGAAAACATAAACTGTAAATACTCGGCCTTCGGGGCTCACCTAGACTTTGCCCCTTAGAATCTTTTCCCAGAAATTGACTCAGTTACAGAAAGGAAGGATCAGTAGCAGAGAGCGAACTCAAAGAAAACCTGCTGCTGGCCGCCCAGCAGTGAAAGGGTTAACTGGGCTGGGCAAGGCGATCCCTTGATATGAGTAAGACTCAGAGTTGTTAAAGTTTTCAAAGCAGAGGCAGCAGCCGGCAGGCAGCGTGGCTCCTGGCTCCGGGGAAAAGCAAAGCGAGTTGGAGGGAGCCTGACAGAGCAGACCGAGGATCAGGATCCAGCTGAGCTAAACTCAGCTGGGGTTACAAGCTCAAGGTTAGTGGCTGCCGCACACCTCCCCAGCGCTGACATCTTTGGGGAGTTGTCTCGGGAATGCGAGGCGCCATCTCTCATCCTGGTGTGTCAGGTCTGCTCTGCTTCCTAGAGCGCCCCCCACCCCCCCTCCTGCCCAACCTCCCGGCTGCTGCCTTCACCCAAGCCTCTGCAATGGCAACAGTGAGGGACAGCTGACCTATTCCCAGGAGGCTTTTCTAAAGGAAACTTTCTGGAAAACAGACACACACACACACACACACACACACACACACACACACACACACCTGTATACTCTGCTCCGCCTTGTTATTTACGCAATCCAGAATTGCTATCTGCTTCAGTTGAAACTGAGAACAACTGTCAAAGTAACTAAACAGGCTGCTTGACTTTATCTTGTGGGAGGAATACTGCCTCTGAGGCTATGGTCTCTGTCTTTGAAAACCGGTTTCTAGTTGCTTTTCTTGTACCTTTGCTAGAACAGAGTGCAGGGGGAAGATGCACTGTGAAGGAAATATTTCTGCATCTATCTGCATGAGCTTCAGATAAACGTATCCACGTAACCTTAACTTACCTGCATGTGCTGCAGATGATAAACTTAAACCTCGGGGAGGGAGGACGGGGAGATAGTAGCAGCTCCACACACACTGCATTCTGAGGGCGCTCTGAATGACAGCTGAGACTGCCCGTCTGGAGGGGTAAAGGACCCCCTTCGAGCCTGGCTGGGAGAGGGCATGGGGGTGCCACTTCCTAGGCCAGTGTTGTCTCCATGCTCTCGCCTTGCACATGGGAGGCAGTGAGTAAGTTGTCGCTGAGCTGAATGCTCCCTCGGATCCTCCAGCAGCAGGAGTCGGTCTTGTACCTGCCAGCACTGAATCAGAATGAGTCACTGAAACTTGGGTGCTGGCACAAAGTGCTCGCAAACTGCCTGGTGAGACACTGCCTCCATGTAGGTGGAATCTCTCTCTCTCTCTCTGAGCACTCACATTTCTCCTCTCTTCCTCTCTCCCTCAAACAGGCAGGAGTTTAGACGCTCTCAAGAGCTCGTCTCTGCTCCCTTGGCTCGGCTGACCCTACCATGTGGAATCTGCCCCTCCGGGTCAGGACTAGCGTTTTAAAATAAGATGGATGATTTGACGTTACTTGATCTCCTGGAGTGCCCCGTGTGCTTGGAAAAGCTCGATGTCACAGCCAAAGTCCTCCCTTGCCAGCACACCTTCTGCAAACCATGTCTCCAGAGGATCTCCAAGGCCCACAAGGGGCTGCGCTGCCCCGAATGCAGAACCCTGGTGTTTGGCAGCATCGAGGCGCTGCCGGCCAACCTGCTGCTCGTGCGCCTTCTGGACGGCGTGCGCTCGGGGCCGAGCTCCGGGAGAGGGGGCTCCTTCCGCAGGCCTGGCGTGCTGGCCTTGCAGGACGGCAGGAAGAGCAGGACTCACCCCAGAGGTCTGCAGGCCAGCCCGTTCCGACTCGTGCCCAACATCAGAATCCACATGGATGGGGTAAGCAAGATCTCCTTTGTTCTTTCGTGTCCACCTGGAGGTTGGATTTGTGTGTGCCAGCAGTTAGGGTTTATCGCTTTCAGTTACGTTTCAAAAGCGGTGCCGCCAGGATTCCTGAGAGATAAGTTTCTGTGGGCAGTGATCCTTCGACTGAAATTTGGTGGGATCCTGACCTATCTAATCCTTCCTGTGATTCTTAGAATTGTGAAAGCTTCCTGGTCCCTCGTGCAGACGGTAGTAGGATAAGGAAAGCCTCCTTGATTATATTGTTGGTCTTTCACTTCTGTCCTGAGGCCAACCCAGTGCCTGGAAAAGGCACGAAGGATGGGGAAGAGAGGGGAAAACAAATCCAACTGCTTGTTGCTTTGGGGAATCTCTGAGAAGTTTCCAAATGTCAGGTTCTGTTTGCATGCTACCCAAATCCATCTTCCCGCCCCCACCCCCATCCGGCCATAAAGTGCTATTATGATTATGACAGTGTTCATTCACAATCCATTCAAAGCTATTAACTCTTGCGGCCCGGAGGTGGTGCAGGAGGGAGCGTCTGTGTGGGTGGACTGACTGACAGGAAGGCTGGGGAGTACAACGGATGTGTCTTACTTTACAAAATGAACAAAACACATAAAATGCACGTCAGTGGCTGCAGTATAAAAGCAAACGGAGCCAGTAGCCATGTAGGACATGACCCAAGGATGCTTTTGGTGTTTGGACAGTGCGATCGCTCTGTCCAGCCGGGCAGGCGCATCCCGGGGACTTTGTCTGACCTGGCGGGGAGCCTTGTTGGGGGAAGCTGTGCTAGGGCACATCTCTCAGGAAGGATGTGGTCCTTGCCAGTCCAGCAGGACAATTTGCACTGTCACCCCAGCAGTCAGTGCGCCAGAGTGGACTTGGCAAGCTGTGGCCTGAGTCGCTGGCATACTTAGAAAGTCAAAGCTGCGTGCTGTGATGTCTCACCTAAAGCGAGCTTTCATACTGGCCGCTGAGTCCCAGGACTCCCCTCGGGGAAGAGTAGCAGTGGGAGGGAGTGTCTTCCCGATTCCTTCCCAGCCGAGAGCAGGCTAGTGCTGTGCATTCAAACAGTTTTCTAAACTATTTCTTGTAACAGCTCACCCCTCCTTTGCTTCACGGTGCCTTCAAGCCCCCGGGCAGTAGGAGAGTGTGGGAACATTCAAAAGTGTGAGCGGGAAGAAGCGGGCATTGGCATGAATTCATCACTGCAGACTTTTCATCGCCACTGTGCCTGTGTGTGTGAAACACATTCCAGAAGAGGGCCTGGCACCCTTCTTGGAGGCTCCCCACTAGGCCTAGCCATCCGTCAGCATCCACGGGCTTGGGAAAGGCGGGGTGGGGGTGGATTATAGAGAATCTCATAGAGAATGGGCTCTATCTCCAGCGGCAAAACTCCCTTTGAATTCCTAAGACCCAGCAACCTCTCCCCTCCCCCACGCTGCAGAGTCGGACTTGCCTCTTGGCAGAGCGTCATTACTCACCAAGAATGTGTTGCCAGACTGGGAGGAGGCAGGTCCCTTATCGCTGCTGAATGTGTTTGTTCATGTTTTTGTCTTTTTCCATGTGGCTATATTGCTAAGAAAAGGTAGCAACGGATGGATCCACAGCTGCCAAGTTGTTGTGCCCTAGAGGATTCCAGGCCCCTCCTGGCAGAGGGAGTTGTGGGGATCAGGGCTGGTCCTACGTAAGAGACAGCCGCTAAGATACTGCATGTCCCTGGAACTCTTTCACAGGGACTTGTAACATCAGAGCAAGGTGCCAGTGACAGCCCCTCCCCCACGTCTCACCAGACAAGTCCTGCCCGTGAGGCTGAAACAAGGAACCAAGCCCTTTCAGCAAGGACCTGGTTTCCTAAGGATGCCAGCAAGCAGGGCTGGCAGCCACCCCATCCACGCCTTTTCTTCGTTTTCTTGAGCCTGCCTTTCCTACCTTTGCCACACCTCATCCCTGTAGCCTCTCTCAGTAGGGACATGAACAGACTCATTCCTGGATGTAATGATGGCTGTCATTCTGCAACCTGTTCTCCCAAAATACAGCTTTCTTTCCTGTATGTGTGAGAGCAGCCATGCCTCCCTCAGATCAGAGAATTGAGGATGGTCGGGGCTGCCCCACTCTGTTCTGAGAGTCAGCAGAGTGGGCTTGCACCCTCACCCAGAAGACTCACCCTCTGGCCTCAGTTTACCCAATCCAGTCTCAGCAATTAATAACACTCGCTACCCACCTGCTTCCACATACTCAGATCACCTTAGAAAACATTCGCTATGGAATGCATATGCATGACATGAAATGCAAAGCATCGTTTTTATCATTAATTTAAACTTACTGTATGACTTCGGGCAAGCCACTTAAGTTTGCTGGGTCTCAATTTAAATTTCTGTAAAATAGGAAAATGCATTGTAAAAACAGAGAGCTATCCCTAGGCCTAACTAATTAGTGTTTACCAAGCACTTTGAGATCCTTAGATGAAAGGCATTTGGAAGATCATTATCAGAGTAAACATTGTTATTGACTGTCTATTGTGCCCTGCTGTGCATGAGGCATTCTACAAAACACAGAAGGAGTGATAGCCCTTGCTGGAGAGCATCATAAGTGTTGTTATTGAAGTTGAGTCCATGATGAGTCCAGACCAGGGTGATACTAAGTATAAAGTGCCTCCTCTACGGGGACATAAATGACCTGTTGTCACAGGTACCACTTTGTAAAACACCTCTTCCAGAGGCCCTCATGTCAGCCGGTATTCTGAAGGAGCAAGTTTCACTTCCTGTCCGTGAGCTCTCAAGTCCAAAGTCTTCCCTGCTCACTCTAGTGAACATAGGCTCCTCTGATGAACAAGCTCATCAAGATCTTTTGGTGTGGTGCTCCTTGTGCCAGCCAGCATGCGAGGGTGGAACCAGCAGTCCCACTTCACGGTGCCAGCCCAAGACAGAAAAAACGGCCCATTGTGCCTACCTGTCTAAAACCCTCCCAAGCCTATTGTGTAAAAAGGAAACTTGAGAAATGGCTGTAGGTTTCTACAGCGTGCAATTATTTCAGACCAGCAGGTAAGATCAACAGACTCCTGGGAGGCCCGTGACTGGAAACCCCACTGGTTCCTATTCCTTCCCAGACTGCCATCAAGCCAAAGGTCCTTTGCAAGCCTTTGAGAAGATTTTGGGCTCCTGAGTAGCTGATCTCTCTTCCTCCTCACTCTGATACCCTTTAATAGTATTTCTGAATTAAGATGGGCAAGAAGGCGATGAAGCGAAGTGTTTGCGAGCTTAGGTTTGAAAATACCAGTATTCAAATCTTGCTTCTTCTCCTCAATAGTGTAATTTCAGTGAGTCACATAAACCTCAGGGCCTCCAATTCTCCATCCATAAATTGGAGGTAATAGTAATACCTGCTTCAGAGTGTTGTTGTGAAAAATAAATGAGATGATTCATGTCACTTAGCTCTTAGCACAGTGACTGGCTCAGATTAAGTGCTCCATAAGTGTTACCTGTTGTTATTGAAGTGACTCAACACTTTCCACTCTAAATTACACGCCCTCTTTCACCCCTTAAGTGTTAACTAGGTGTCTTCCAGAGACGGTTCTTGGTACCCTAACTTCTGGCTTGTTTTGTTTCCAAATGATCCATGGCCATGAATCAGGTGTGTGATTCTTCCCGCATATGCTGACTTGGCAGCTCGCTTCCAAGACCCTGTAGGAGCTAGGAGTTGATTCTAGGAGGACACTTGCCAGCTAACATCACTTCTGCAAACAGCAAGCTCAAAGGAACACCATATGCAGGGCAAGACCCTGGTCCACTTCCCAGAATCACCCATTCTTCATTAACTTCCATCTTTCCCCTGCTTCCCACTACCCACAACACAACGGGTGCCGCCCTGGGTCTGGCAGGGCTGGACTTTCTCCCTTCTTTGTTGAGCAGCATGCCAACCACACACATTCCTGTCTCACTTGCCCTACCTCAGCGAGAACACACCTGCCACCTCCAGCACACAGACCAGGTGACTGTCTCCCAGAAACTTTTTCAGCTGGTGTTGCAAGCAACCGAGGGGGAAAATGAGGTCAGAGAGCACACAGGGGAATTGGGGCTGGTAGAAACCAGAAGGAAACCAGCCCCCATTTCTGAGTCTCAGCTGTTGTGTCCGGCAGCAAAGCCGTGACACAGACAGTGGTTTTTGCTACATTTGCAAAGGGACTGAACCATCCCAGGCCCCTACAAACAGCAGGCAGGTGTCACCTGGGTCAGCAGGGACCACATGGGGCAGATGGAGGGAGACAAAGGCAGGACCTGGGGCTGAGAATTCAGGAGATACATACAGATGGCTCTCCAGCTTCACACACATTTGCAAACCTTTTGAAAGACCACATGGCCCCATACTGGCTCTGCCCCCAAAATCTCTTGACATACCTCCTTGCTAGTTACAACTCTCTCCCTTTAATTCCTTACTGTAGTGTTTAAGGATTGTGGTCAAATGGAGCAGGGTCTGTGCTGGGATTCAATTATTTGTTAGCTGTGAGGCCTTAGGCAAGTCACTTAACCTCTCTGACCATCAGCTTCCATTTTTGTATAATGGAAATAACAATAGCATACATATATCATAAGGCTATTAAAAGATTAAAATGAGATAATGTATGTAAAAAGCTTAGTACACATGCCTGGTACATAATAGATGCTAATAAATGTTAGCAACAGCAAATAACAATAATAATAGAGGAGGAAGTCTGCTGGCATTGGATCTGGAGTTCTTTGCACCCACATATAAACATGCAGATATTGCCATTAAAATTTTAAGGAAAGGGAATAGCAAAAGTAAAGGGAGTTCTCAAAAAGACAAAACTGTAGTGATGGGAAACTGGTTTTCAGTGGTTGCCAGGGGTTATGGGTTAGGAGAGGATGTGACGCTATAAAGGGACAGCATCAGGGAGATGAAACTATTCTGTATCTTATTTGTGGTGGCAGCTAAATGAGTCTATATATGTGTTAAAATTCATAGAAATATATACC